TAACTAAAAATTAAGTTATAGTAGTTACTTAAATGTAATGAACGTGTATATTAAATTTATGAAATTTAATGTACTTTTAATACAATTTTATGAAAAGTACATTAAATTTCATAAATTTTCATGAGAAATACATTAAATTTTATGTACATGTACACAAATATACTTTTTAATTATAAATACATTAAATTTAATGTAATGTCATTAAGTTCAAATTGTGTAACTTAAAAGTTAATGAAATTTAAGAACATTTCTAACAGTGTATATACTCAGATCTTTCTACGTGCAACTTGACCATCCACGTCTTTAAGGTACACGATAAACTTCCGGTATTTTAAAATGATAAAAATAAATATATACGTATTTTTAAATTTTTTGTCGTAAAGAACAATTAAAAAAATTTCTTACAAAATTGAATCAAACTTCTATGTTATCAAACTCCCAACATAAGCACCTTTAGTGGCACGAAAATCGACCCCGGTATATATTATTTCACCCGAAGTGCACTGAGCATATTATTAGTTATAAATATTATTTAGTTATAGCGGATACAATTCAGTTGCCTAAGGCAATATTCATATTTGATACTTTGATGAAGAAAACTATGTCCCCTCATTATGCTTTTAGAAAAAGAAAGAGGAATGCGATAGTCAAGCGAGCCTCCTTGCCGAAATTATACAAATTCGAGCGTGTGTGATACTAAACAGAAAAACCCAATTGTCGTCTTTATATTACCTGATTTCTCAGACAATATTAAAATCTCAGAGATTCGTCTCATTCTATAAATATATCTAACTCTTGACTCTTCTTTTTCCCCACCATCTCACATCGCGTCGTATACAACAATCGTCTCGTGATATTAGATGCGTCGATATTTGCTCGCGTGGTGACTGCCTTTTGAAATTCTGCCAGCCTTAACAGCTTCCGGAATTTCCGACCGCATCTCAGTGCGATCAGGAGGTACAGTCAGGTTACCGCGACGGCGGTGTACGTGAAAAATTCACAGCGGTCAGCTCGGTAATTTGAAGGCGGTTAATAGCGAGCGTGTGCTGAAGAGGAGCAACAGAACTCACGGGAAAGCGCGAGAGAAAGAGAAACAGAGAGATTCACGGGCTGGGTAAAATCACGCACGAGCTCGGCGCGATATTTAATTCACGAATCCTCTCGATGCCGCGGCCAGGGTGGCTCATGTCTTCCCTCCCGTCGGAGGTAAGCAGAGGGGAAAGTGGCTGAAAGGGAAAGACGAAGGGGATGACGGAGACGAATGCACGCTCCGCGTTGCGAACCGGACAGAGAAGTCGGGGGAGATGGAGGAAGAATGTGTGTGTGAGAGAGAGAGGGGGGAGGGGGAGGGGGAGCCTCATTTCCATTAGCGGCATGCATCATACAGAAACTAGTCAGACTATATACACGGGTGTTCTGCTGCATGTCGAAACAAATTGAGATGCAGACTGCCACTGAATGACGCCGACGGTCACTGTCTCTATGTGCGTCGAGACGCCGTCGTTGCCGCTTATCCTCTTCCTCCTCCTCTTTCTCCTCCGAAGGCGATTTTCTCCTCGTTTGCTAAAGCAAGTAATCCTAAGTACGACTCGAAGAAAGTCTAGATATAGAGTTGTAATAGTGACCGCTGATAGAAAATTTATCCCAAGCAAAATTGTAGCGTGAAATTAATTACATTCTCCAAGATAACAGGAACAAGTAAACAGGAAGAGATAATTATCTCCTTCGTGTTTTTAATAATTTCGGACATAAACTGAATGGCTCTTAGAAACATTTCTTTCGACTGATCGTTAGTTACTTACAGTAGTCGTAGTTTTAGTCTAATTGTAAGCGCGATCCACTTAGCGCTACAAATGCTTCGAAGAATTCGATTGACCAATTAGAAAAAGAATTTTACTTTAATTCGACTAATCAAGGAACACTTCAACATTCGCATCAAGTGAACCACAGTTTAAATCCCTGTCGGCAGGAAAAACGGACGGTAAGGGGAACATCATGATCCTTGTTCGCGCGTCCTTAATTACTCGGCCGCATGTAATACGCAATGTTTTCATTATAAAAATCTTCTATCACGTCCTATTCCCGTCGCAACATGCGTCGAACGGAATTATCCGTGTGGGAGAGAAAGGCGATTGGACGGGCGTTGCATTCCGTGCGCGACGTAAGAACGACCTGAAAGGGACGGCCTGAAAAAAGAAGTGGGGGGGATGACAGCGGGTCGGGGGGGGGGGGGGGAGGAAGAGGAGCGGAAAAAACGCGGAAAAAGAGGGAAAAAGAAAGAGAAAGAGAAAGAGAAAGAGAAAGAGAGAGGGAGAGAGGACACGCTGGCGAGGGTGGGCGACCGCGATATACAGGGACGCTCGCAATTTTCTCGTCAATGCACACGTCAACCGGCACGTCGCGTATGCACTCTGCACGGTGTATATTCCGCGAGCTGCACCGCAGAGCGCGGTGCGGCGCAGGGGACACGAGACAATGAAAAATGCACGCGCCACGATATACTACTTGCGCGTCCAAGTTACAACTGCAGAGCAGAACTCAATCTCTCCCCTTCTCTCTCTCTCTCTCTCTCTAGCTATCTCTTTTCTTCCTCTCCTCCCGCCTCTCCCCCTCTTGGTCTCTCACTTATGCGTCCTCCTCCAGCTCGAGCGAGGCTCGTCGGAAACAGCGAGCGGGCTGCTCAATAATTCTTTGTGTGGTTTAGCCGAGAGATGCGTGTGCACGTGTATTGACGCGGGGCTATTTCGCGAAATTGCCAACGCTCCGTGCCATCCCCCTTGTGTCACGGCGGTGGAGACGTTATTTCGCTACATCGCCGCCGTCACCGTCGCCTTTCGTTCTCTCCTCGTTCCAGAAAGCCCTCTCCCGTTTTGATGACCGCGAGAAACCCCGAAAAACGATTTACGGTAACTGCGCCATGGTAGTGGGCAAGGGAGGAGGAGAACGTACATTTGAATAGATTTGAACAATTTAAATATACCGCAGCACAATACGAGGTTCTCGTATACGACGCTATCTGCACTTCCGAAGAGTGACGTTTCCGCGTTCTCGTCAAATCAAAAAGAATACTGAAAACAGTCCATTGTGTGAAATAGTATTTAAGTTACGTACGCGCTTCTGTCGATACTCAAGGATGAAGGATTAACTTTTAAGTAAGTAAATGGAGTGGTCACCGTATCTCGAATACAGTTTTCTTTAAAATTTTATCATGGAAAGAGAAAAAAAAGTATTACCTAGATGCCCAGAATCTCAAGATTCAGATTTATTTTTGTATGTTTGTTTTATAAGAATATATATGTATAATTTACTAATGTAAATTTAACTAATATAATATATTGTAAAAAGATACGACTATAGAATTAAAATTTAATTTCTTGTTCACTCTACTTACGTACTCACCTTGCGTATCTTTAAATTACCTATTTATCTACTTAAAGTTAATGCATAAAAATTAGGTCCATTTACTTCCGTAAGTTTCGATCAATTTTAGTTCGAAATAAAAGATACATCTTTAGTGGACGAGATTTAGTGGATGATAGTCGACATCTTCATGCACGAACGTCTCTCAAAGCGGCATTTGGCTTTTTGCAAGTAGAAATTCGCGAATCTATGAAACTTTGAAGCGCGAGGGAAAAGAGAAAGAAAAAAGGGAAGAAGTAGAAGGATTTGGGCGGCAATCGGGGCGCATCGAGCGACTCTTAAAAATTAATTTGAGAAGTCAGGCCGGAGAAAGAGGCTCGATCCGGAAGTACAATGTATACAACAAGTATAACCGGCACACGCGCTTATACTACGATATTGCAGAAATCGCAAAATCCGAAAACGCAAGAGGCAAAACTTTTCAAATGAGCCAACTTTGCGTGTGTCTTGCGCTTTCGGTGCCCTGCCGTCTCGCGAATCCCCTTCGAAAAGCCTCGCATATTAGCAAAGTTGTCGGCCGAGGTGAACAGTTCGGATTACCTCGGTATTTTCAATGCATACAATTTTTCCCTTGTAGTTCCGGAAAATTTTTGGTAAGTCGCCTTTTCGTATTGTGTCACATTGCAGATTCGAGCACGAAAAGTTAGTGAAAAAAAAATTTGCTTGTAACAATCAAACTTATATGATAGCAAGGTTGGGTTTAATAACGCGTTTGTACACTGCTAAATTTAGTGTCAATTTTTTTATGCTATATGGTGTCAAATTGACAGTATATAGTTTCAAATTTAATTATTTTAATGATGTAACAAAATTATTTTTAGATCTGTATCTCTCTAAACTTTTAGATATTTCAGCGAAATCATTCCACGTATAACAAAAAAATAAGTGTTTAGATAAATGGACTAATTAAATGTCAATTATACTTTTCTAAATATTTAGTAATTATTACCAAACAGTTGATTATTATTATATGTATCTGATATTACTTATACTAATTGCATCAATACGCTAAACAAAATATTTGATAGCTATTACTTAGGCTTTTTTCTCAATGTAAAACTCTCTCCCAAATTCTTACACCTATCTTGCAAACTCCATTTACGTTTAAGTATTTACGAGATTAAATCTTTTATTATACTTATTATCCTTATCTTATCGTGGTTATTATTAACATATCATTTATTTTAAAATGAAGATATAAGCTTAAGATTAAATAGAATTAAACAAACGATTCGATGATTAAAACGTTCTTTCGGTCGTGATCCGATTTAATGGGATTTAAACATTTAAAAGTAAATTGATACATTCTCTGTTACATAACTTGGAATATTAAAGTCTAAACAATTGGTATTTTGCGTGATGTCAAGCGGCACCAATAGAGATTAAAATACTTCAACCCTCTTTTTCCCGCGAACGAGTTTCGATTAAATAATTATCTCGGCGAAGGTCGTTCTGCTTCCGGTTAGAAAAGAAGATTGCACGGATAAAAGATTAAGTCGTTTTCCCAACCAGCCGTTAAATCGCCGCTAATCGTTGTTCCAGCACACCGATGTCTGACCGACCGACCTTTTCTGTTTCAGGCCAAGTTGTTGGAGTCGTCCCACGCTTGGCTCGGCGCCTCCACCTCCAGTATAGCAGGTGAGTCCCGTTTTCGTTTTTCTCCTCTTCGTCTCGTTTCGATACGTTTCAGGAGATAATCGCCCTCTCGACACGGCCCCCAGGCCGGACGTAAACGTGGAAGCCTCCACGTTAGGCAACGCACACACGTGAAACAACGTCTGGTTGCCTATCTCTATGCACAGGGTGTCCTCGTACTTTCTTCTACCGATAGATTTATCGAATTCAATATTAAAATTAATTGTAAACATAAAATCATATTTACGATTGTTTTATTTACCCTGAGGGAAAAATTTTTCGTATATTTGTGACTAGAAAAAATTTCATGATACATAATAATAATTAATAGTCACAAATTCCAAAAACTTTTCTCAATGGCATGTAATCTAAATGTTCAGTGTAAATGTAACTTAAATATCCAAAGAAAGTTTATGTTATCAAAGAAATTTGAATAATGCTAGTATAATAACAAAATATCTGATTGTTTCCTGTTTTTATTATTGTCGCATATATACATATTTTTTTGAAATTTATCTTTAGTTTTAATTACTTATGTGGCATTTATCGTTAAAGGAAAGTACGATTAATCGAAGACACCCCGTATAACCTGTTTCGCGATACATCTATAAAAGACTTCACATCCCTCTCCTACAATATCTGTTGCATTATCTGCAGCTTGTATCTGTCGAACGAATTCCGACGATCGGTTTTCGTAGTAAGTAGTGGCGCAACGACCGATCATCCCTTCCGAGTTCGAGTGGAGATTTCCTGTTCTCGAGTATCCCTCGAGCATCCCTCGAGGGCTGTTGTCCGATTCGCTTCGCTCCATTTTCAAGTTCATGGTCACGTTGTTGAATCATCAGCTTTGTACGTGACAAACCTCGTCCTAGAAACGACGACTGATCGTCTCCCAGTTTCGTGCGCGACCTTTAGCTTCGCGGGGATGGGACATCCGTTATTATTCGTAGATCAATCTTACTATTTACTTCTTTGTCTTTTCAAATGCTACTTGCTGACGATAAGGGTTCCTGGAACCGACACGACCGTCGTCGTCGTTGACAACCACGGGAGGTGGCAACACGAGAGAATATGAAGAGAGATCGCGGTGTAGAGTTACACGTGGTAACCGAACAACAATAAAATAAAGGGAGGAACGTGAGCGCGGGCCCAACAATAATAAAGTGGAATGCCTTTTGCTTTAATATAGAAAGCAATTTAGATAGACCATGTGTGTAACGAATGCCGGTTAATAGCGGCGATAACATATCCGCGATTCGCAAGCGAAAGGTTTCAGCGTCTAACCCTCTTACGCGCACCATCGATCGCGGTTATACCTCTTGAATGTGAGTCTCCGTTTGTAAAATCTTTGGATACCGCACTATAAATAAGGATCCTTTAATTTTTACCGGTACTTTAATCCATGAATCAAAGGACGAAATTAAATGGCAGATGCAATAAAATATCCGCACTTTTAAGTCAGCGTACATTCAAGAGGCTCGAAAAGTATTTGTAATTTCGCATAAATTTTTGATATTTGTGACTATAATTACATGTTATCATAATTATGATTATTATGCCATAATGGTAAAAATAATTATATGTATAGTTCTAGAAACAAATTTAAATATATATAGTTGGCAACCGTAAATGACTAAATAATTATAATTATTGTTACTAATATTGTAGCAGCAATAAATTCCTAATCATAATTATTTTAGCAGCCAATTATAATCACAAATACTTTTCTCTTAGTGTATGAAAATTCTAGTTGCTCAAATGCGGGTTTAAATAATTTTCCCAGCTGTATTCTTCTCCAAGCTTTGATTTGCCATAGTACGTATGTTCGAGCGTAAACGCGCATAAACGTCGCAATATGCGTCTCGAATTGATCCCCGGCGTGCGTGCGTGCGTGCGTGCGTGCGTGCGTACGTGCGTGTTTAAGCGTATACCAAATGCGTAGGCGCATATTCCCCTCTCGGTTCGCTTAAATCATTTTCTTCGATTACTCCTTGACTTCCCATGAGACGTGGCCGCTGCCGCCGGCTGTTTGCTTCTTTTAACGATCGCGCTTATTTATTCCGCGCTTTTCTCGTCCGCGACGAGAGAACGTTTCTTAAAGCGGACATCGGGTCTCCACTTTCGCTCGGGATTTACCACGGAAAAATGGGTAATTTAAAGTTTCGAAGATTAAATATCCTTATTCGATATAATTTTCTTGTTGACAATATCAGGGATTGGAAGTATAGTAATACTGTTACTTTTTATAGCAATGATTTGATAATTGATGACTTGACATTGCAATTTTTATAACTGTAACAATAATTAATTAAACGCTAAGGTTATGCTAGAATTGGGAAAATGACTTTAAAAAGTAACTGTTACCATTACGCATTATTTATTGAAAAAAAGTAATTTGTTATTTGTAATGCATTATAAGTAACGAAAAGTAATTCGTTACAAATAATGAGTTTCTTTTTTTAATATCGAGTGACTTTTTTGTTACAAATAACAATTGATTTTTCCAATTCTGATATTATTGTTACCGCCTAAAAAATTCGCCTAAAAAATTCGCGATAATGTCATTATCAACTCGTTTATAATAAAGTAACGATAAAAAGTAATGGCGTTACAAAAAAAAAATACGTATTTTTATTCCTTAGACAATATCCATTTCGAGGGACTTGAACAGTTAAAAGTGCGCTATTTCTACGTCTCAGTTGCAGAAATATTTTAACCCTATCAGCCATATATGGAATTTTGCATTTTCTGTCAGTAATTTGAGCTTCAGTGCAAATTTTTATATCGTTTCAAACTGGATAAAAATCTAAAAAAATTCTCGTGAAAGTTTTAACAACAAATTTTTACTATATACACGAAAAGAACAATTTTACTGAAATATTTACAAATTTAGATATAATAACAGATTTGAAAATGTTGACCCTCCACCGACCAAGTTGGACTTTGAAGGCAAGTATCTTAAAATTTAGCTAGATACGAATCTGAAAATAATTTTGTTGGATTATCAAAATAATAATGCAAGAAACTCAAATAGTAAGTGATTAGTGCTGCAAAAAAGTTTTGATATTATAGCAACCAATTTGAGCGTCCTACTTAATTATTTTGATAATCCAACAAAATTATTTTCAGATTTGTATCTATAATAATTAAATTTTGAGATACTTGCTTTAAAAATTCAACTTGGTCGGTGGAGCGTTAAAGTTTTCGGAAAAATTTTTATTAATTAAGAGAGAGAGAGAGAAAATCTTCGTGCTTTCAATGAACGTGGATCATGGATTTATCGCTGTAAACTGAAAGATTGAGAATTCCTCCCGATATACCTACGTCCCAATCAATGAGACGACTCGGTAATCAGATTAATATTTAATCTACACGCGCCTTTTGAGGACGCAATTGCCTAAGCAAGATTGTTCGCTTAGCCGCGATTGTTCTCCTGGTGAACGACGATTTGCCAATCCGAGAGAAAATGCCCCGCGCAAAACTACAGGTTGCACGTGTACCGCGTGGCAAAACGCCATTGTATGATAATATTATTCGACGCGATTATTTCCAGCCCGGATTTAGCCACGACGCCATTACACGCGATACGTGGCGATTTTTTTCCTTTCATTTTTTTTTTTTTTTTTTTTTTTTTTTTTTTTTTTTTTTTTTTTTTTTTTTTTTTTTTTTTTTTTTTTTTTTTTTTTTTTTTTCTTTTTTTTTTTTTTTTTTTTTTTTTTTTTTTTATTCACTGGCTATCATTCCCAGCGCGGCGGTTGTGGGACGATCAATTCGCACACGAAACGAGATTATTCATATTTCTATGCAATCACGGATTGTTATGCTGAAAGAAAAAGCGACTTGCGGATTTTTTCTATTTTTTTTATTTTTTCATTTTTCCCCCCCCCCCCCCGATTTCCCTCATGCCGAAACGGTGTATATTAAGCAGTTTCAGTGATGGTGCTTAAAATATCCATCTATATACGGGGAAGTGACAGATCCGCGCTGGAAATACCGTTTAATTAATTTACAAAACGTGCGAATTCATGCCGCGACGAGAGTAAAATAAAATCTGGCTCGTCGCGAAGAGACCTATCATCGTTTCCCGTCCGCGATAACGCGATAATTATAACGACGTTAAATTTCTTCCTGCGCAATTGCGCGCAGTTTGCGAAGCAGAAATCGGTGCGAAGCGACGCGGCACCGACGCGGCATAAATCCGCCCGGCCGACGTGAGTGACGTTAACTGCTGCTAACACGCGTGGGTGTGACGCGCTCTGTGGACCACACAGTGGCCCGCAGTTCCCGCTTCTCCCTTTTTGTCCTGCCCTCGTCTTCTCGCCGGCTCTTTCAAGTTGATCGGCAATGCACTGGTTAACGCACGGACTAAAGGGATAATTACAGTGCAATTATAATAATTGCACCGTATAATTATCGATAATTACGATAGCGACGATACGTTACACATGAAAAATGATCAGTTAAATCGACATGTTTCAAGCCGATCGCTTGAAGTCAACTCGTTACTTCGTAAGGATTTGATCTTCGAGAAGGGATTCCCCTTGAATCCCGCGATGCTCTTTTTAAGTCGCCGTTGCCACCTCCTCGTTTTAGTGTTGGTAAATTATTTTGATTGCTTACTCAGGACGAATGAATCTTGAGAGCCTCGTAAAATTCGTACTCGGTGTGATATATTTTTACTCGCGAGTGCTTCACCGTATATTCTGCTTCTATTTTCGTTTACTTGCCACCTCCCAGGTTTCGTGCTTTCTTTTCATTAGCAAGCTGCGTTAATCACTTATTTAGTCTGTACGACGAAAAAATAGCACAGCAATATAATTTTTAATTATAAATTATATATGTAATACTTATAATTTCCAATCCTCAATGATTACGTGCACTCCGCAAAGTATCAGTATACTTCGTCTTTCGTTCCTATTCTCTTCCTAGAGCTTTTTATTTATCGCTAACTCCTTCATAACTTTTGTTTTCGCACTTGCAACATTAACTGTATTTTGCTTCATGAATTTTACGATCCACTCTAAAGGATCCTCAGCATGTCTTCTAATATTAATAAATACCTTATTACCTTTCATAAATATTTATAATTATCATCTTCTCTTATATAACAAACAAACTCCACCTGCTGTTCTATCGGATGTTTACATTAAAGACACCCGAATATATAGAATAACGCAGAACAAAGAGAAAATGTTGTAAGAGATAAAAGAGGGAGAAAGCTTCATCAAGGTGCGCGATTTTCAATCTTCTCTAGGTGCGGCTTTTCCGCGCGGTTCTCAACGCGAAAAATTAAAAGATGAGAAACGAAGCTGGAAAGTCGAAAAGAAACCGCTGACTATTTTCTAGCTGACTATACGACCCTGCTGAAGCTGAAGGCGCCCACGTGGACGCGACACGATCTCCAGGAAGCGATCGAGGCTGTGGTGACCCAGAAAATGCGCTTCACCCAGGCATCCACCAAGTATGGCATCCCGAAGGGCACCCTCTACGACAACATCCTCGGCAAGTCCAAGAGGATGATGATTCTCGAAGAAACCGCCCTCAATTCGAACGAGGAAACAGCGGTGTTGGAATTCTGCTGCGATATCAGCGTCAGTCCGTACAATCGGCGCACGAAGAAGTCCCTAAACGCGATACTGAACTTCGTCGAGCGTCTCAGGCGGAAGCACGACCCCGGCTTTATGTTCACCGGACTGTCGGGCTTCCGCTGGTGGTGGGCCTTTTGCAAGAAGCACTCCATAGTCTCGCTTTACATCAACGACGAGAACGAGAACGGTGCCGATTCTTCTTAACGTCCGCCGGTCCATCGAATGCTAAAATTGATCGAGGAGAAATATGGTTTTGAAAAGCCTTCGTTAGAGAATAAATGTAATCTTTTATACGTTCCAGATTTCGTGTGGCCAACGCGTTGAATTTTATTTATATTGATGCTATTCTCTTAATTTTTCCGTCGCGTATAGATGTATTCGCGAACAATTTCGTCTATCTATAAAATCATTAGTGAAAAATTTGCTTCGTCTCTTTTTCCGATTCAGCGAATGCTCCGATCTTTTCGACGGCCGCGTTGATTCTTGTTAATCCTTCGGAATGTATTGGACCCACTTAATTATAAATCTCTTTGTCAAACAGTTCAGTTTTCTTTACGTTATCTTTGCAAATTTGAATTCTTATTAAAATATACTTGATATTCATTTTTTACGTCATTTTGGTTCCCGAAAGTTAATTAATGCCTTTTAATCAATGTAAATTAAATTGATCTTACAGATCTAGTAACTGTGTTACAAATTTTGGTGTCAGCTCCGAAGGATTAAGTAGAATTGCGCAAAAATGTAATCCAACGTGATATTCCGTCGTGTCTTTCTCCCGATTGTCGCGACTGCGAGACTCGTCAGCCGAGAATGCGGCGGTAGTTCCCTTTGCCTTGCGGATGAGAAATGAAGAAAAATGTGGAAAATTTAATGTCCCAGAGACAACGAGTTCATTCAGGCGACATTAAGGCAAAGGGAATACAGTAAGTTCAGTCGGATTTCGAGCGGCATGCCGTCGGACGCGACACGACGCGCCATGCAACCTTTATTCGCCGCCTCTCGGGTCGGAGATTCGCATTCTTGGATCGTAAAAAAAGAAAAAAAAAAGAACGGTATGTTTAAAGGTGACCGGCGCGTTCTAATAAGAGACGGCACTGCGTCGATTATATCGAGATTAAATACGACGTCTTTAAATCTATCTTTTTAAAAGCTTCGATTATAAGAATCCTTATAAGGGCCAAATGAAAAAAAAAAAAAAGAAACATTCGACGAAACATCTTCGAATACTGGACACGTTCGAACACTTTCGCGATCGCTATCCTTCTCTCCGTCTTCCTTTTTTTTTTTCTTTTTTGATCCACTTGTATGATTCCTCCGGAGCATGCGCCGCACGGTACCGACAATCGACGCGCAATCCGTAGACTTCAACGCGGAAAATCGCTGCACAAGCAAGGTCGCGAGAAGAATTTGCCTGCTAATTGAAAATCGAACGCCGCGTTCGCGTCGCGTGCCCGCGCGAAATGATAACGCGGTAAAATCGGGTGGGGACTTTAATCGGCAAAAAATGTCTACGTTCGATTAAATTTAATATCCATCAGAATCGATTGCATCAACGGCGATTAGCGCGGTTATTCCCTCGCGACAATATTCTCCGATCCTTTTTCCCTCGGTTCTCCAGCGCTTCTGAAGTAATAGAATTTCCATGACATATTATACAATAAAAGGACTTCACGTTAATTTATTTGCGGATAACTCGATTCATATTGAGAACGCACGCGAGAAATATTTATACTAAAAGAGAGTGAGAGACAGGATGGAGATGCATTCGACGTTAAACTTTTATGAAAATTTCCACAATTAATTATAACAAAAGTGTAACGCGTTAATCTATCGTGACCTCAAAGTTATAATAATAACAGAAATTTAATGCCAATTGAGAAAAGGAAATAGCGTCACAGAAACGTTTTCGAACGTGTCGCATCAACTTCGGGAGCGCTTTCTTGCAAATGATTTAGCGTGTAAATGACTTTAGTGCCTTCCACTCATCTCCGTCTTCCACGTAATTTAATCGACGAACATACACTCAGAGGAAAAGATAATAGCAATAAGATGGCAATAAGATGACTTGTATAAGGGTTTGTTATACAAGTTTCATATATATGTAAAATATATATATATATATATATATATATATATGGTAAAATATATATATATATATATATATAAATATATATATATATGGTTGAATAAACTATTTTATTATATAATTATTCAATTATGTATATATATTAATTCAACATATAAACGTATTGTGTAGTAGAACGTTTTGTCAGCTTTATAATACATGCTACATTTTTCTCTGACTGTATAAGGCCGAGGTATACACTCGGTTCTTCGCATGTACTACACTTTGTACATACTTTCCGATCACAATGTGTATATTCCGACTCGACGGGACCAAATTATCACCGAGATCGTTGTCGATGCTCACGATATTGTCGTAACTAGATATATATTTTCTACGAGTTTATTGTTAGTGGAACACACTTTGTTTAAGTTATTAGCGTTGCCATGTTGTACGCATCTTGTATACTTGGGTCTTTTCGCTGCCGACAATAACTGCGAGATAATTATCTCTAGTGTATTAGGATCATGGCGAGGAGAAAGGCGATTCTCTGTAAGAAAGAGCCCGCGTTTTCTGCTAACATTCCAAATCTGCCTAATGGATAATCGCGTTTATGAAACGAGCACACATCCGTTCCCTATTAAAGCGAGGCATTGTTTGAAGCTAAGGAAGATTAGAAAGACGATTTAGGAACGTGAGGAGAGCAAATGGATGAAGGAAGTATACCGCCTACTTGCGAAAGTCGATCTAGTGGCGCGATAAATATTCAATCAACGAATAAAAATGTTTCACAGCGTGTATACCGCGTATAATAACGCGCGAACGCAATATTATTATAAGTTGTAATGGCTATGCCAGTTATTTAATGGCAATATAAATAGTACGGACGTAATGCGCAAAAGGAATAGTCGCGGATAAACGTAATGAAAGTAGAGCAAAGCGGCGAACCGTATAAAAGAGAGGCATACATCTAAATATATATCGGCTCTGAATTTGCCGACACGCGACTCAAGTAACGTATTACGTTAAATCGTGATAAAACGGGAGATCGTTATTCGACCTAGCTGATACAAAAATTTGTTCGTAAAAATAACACGCGCAGCATATTTTACAAATACGCACAATTCCGCTCGTGCGATTAAACCAAAATCAAATTCGTTGTAATTGCGAACTGCACTGCAGAGAAAAGTATTAGTATTTTTGGTATTTGTGATTATAATCGATGGTGAAATAATTACGGTTAGAAGCTCCGTTTTTTTTCATAGTTGTTACTGCTAATGTTAGCAAGAATAAATATATTTATAGTTTTATACGTCAAAAAATAAATGGCCCCGAAAATAATTATAAATTTACAGTCATTTTCATTCTTCAATGAATAAACCAACTATATTGAAGAATTTCAACGTTTGCAAAGCTGCTTTTTCTCTTGAACACAGCCATGTTATTCTTACTAACATTTTATATAATACTATAATAATTGCAAAAATAGAGCGCCCAGCCATAATTATTTTACCGTGAAATTATCACAAATATCAAACATTTTTCTTTCAGTGTGGAATCCAATCGATATAATAATACTTTGAATAAACATTAGCCTCGAAATAGTTGACGACGAAAACTTTTAGCCGACATATCTTCTTCATGCGTTTAGCTTTTCGTTTGCGAAAAAAAAAAAAAATCTCATTCCATGACGCCCACAATACTTGACAGCGCGACGACAAGAGGAGTGATATTAGATTATACTACCATCACCAGAGCGTGTCGCGGGACAGAACGACGGGCACGTATATTTTTATCGGCATCGGTGTGCTCGGGGCGAAAAAGAACGACTCAATTACGCGCGCGGAGAACAGGACGCGGACGTTAACAGGGTACGCTTTAGCCGACTTTTTGCGGCAATTATTGACTGCGACAGACGTGTACATACCGAGCGTCGCGAGCAATAAGCAACTAATATCCAGTAATTATTAACACGTGGTAATTAACGTCAAAAGCCGTTCGTTCGGCTTTCCTCCGAGAAGAACGTAACGCCGCTAATTTCATCCGATAAAGGATCTCTCTGACTCGGAGTCAGATTTCGAGATAACTCGCTAAAAAAAATGCTGGTACTCTTATTAACATTATCTTATGGTAAAGAAGAGTTATGGTGTATAACGAGCGTCGATTGAAATAATTCCGCTACGGGTAATCCAAACGTACCTTTTGTTCGCATCAGGGAACGTTACGAACTTTACGTTATCGTTCACGTCCGCAAACTTGCTCGGAGTTGATGGAAAAAAAAAAAATGGCAAATCGCCTTCTCCTTCGACGGCGTTGGCGCACTTCTCGCGTCACATTATCGTCGATCGTCGCCCTCGGGGGACGACTTGCAGCTCGCGTATTTACGAGCGGCACGTTAATTGAATCCTGGCGAGAACGATGTAATATTATACCGGTGTTATCGCGCGTCCGCTAAAAGTGCGACACGCCGAGTGGTAAGCGAGGTGTGCTTGCAAACGTGAGGGGAGCAGGGAGTGCGAGAGGCGAGAGAATTAAGTGTGAATGAACGGTATTAAAATAGGCGTGCGCGCGACATTCCCCGATAAAGTATCGAAAGTAAAGTAAAGGCGAGATATCTCACGGTGGGGTCGTAAACCAACGTTACGACGACGGTGCTACCGCGCCTTGGAGATAATCACACCGCGCGAGATTGTAATCTCGCGGTGTATCCTCTCCGATGCATTAATAAAAGACTTGGATCAGATCCCAAACAAGAACGTTGCGTAACGTCATTGAATTGCGTTACCATGAATGAAACGACATTACGCTATGCCGTTCCGCATGAAAGACTGTCACATTAGAATCTTCCTCGGTCGAAGCGCGAAAGTTTCTTTACTTTCGACTCCGTTAGCAACTGCATGCATTACTCAAAGCGATTTAGAAGTAACCGCGAAAGAAGAAAATGTACTTAGTGCCTTCGTAGATGAAAGATAATATAAGTAAAATTGATTTGCATGTAATTCAGCCGTTAATTAATTCGACGGAACTGATGTCAAAGTCTGTAACATAATTACTGATGCTATAGGTCTACGAGACTCGTTTAATGTTAATTAAAAAGTATTAATTCATTTCAAGAAATCAAAATGACTTAATTCGTATAAAAAAAAAGGATAAATACTAAATTTATTATTTAACCTCCGTCTGCAATCTGGATTTTTTTTTTATCCAACTCAAATTTTTTCATTATTTTAGATCTTCAAAAAATGTGAAAAAATTCAGTTACTTTTCAACATTTATTACATTACCAAATAGTTTTTATAACTTATATGTTATTGAAACGAAATTTCGTTTATATAAGTTATATAAGTTATAAAGTGAATTTTACTGAATAAAGTGTTCTTAACATAATTTCAGTTTATAGATGTGATGTAAAATATATAATTGAATGGATCCAATAGGCTCACGTCAGTTCCGAAGGATTAAACGCAGCTATGTGGTTCAAGTCACCAGATATTGTCACTCGTTGTCGGACATTTGAACGGTATTATAACACGAAGCGGGGATTTGGCGTCAAATGCGCCGCGAGAATGCGGGTCTAAAAATAGCTAGACTAGTCGCGCGCGCGCCCGCGTTTTACCGATGAATTGTATTAATCGTCAAATTGGTTAGGAGGCTTAATTAGACCCAATAAGTTAACTATCAAATAATTGTTGCGAATTGAGGCCGGTCATACGTGCCGTACGCGAACGGCGGAAGTCAACTGTAAATGTATCGTCGCTGTGCCGGGGACGTTTCTTTCACCCGTTATTTCGCCTTAGATCCTCCGCTCTTTTTGCGTCACCAATTTCTCTCCGATCGATCAAGATTCTCTTATTTGATAAATTTTTCCACACGCGACGCTGAAAAATACCCCGTCAAGGAGACTCTAATAATGCGTTATAATAGCACGTGATATATCGGCGTCAAGTGACGTGTACTCTTTATTGCGAGCCGTCTGATTGGACATGACGATATTATTATAATAAAGCAATTATAAGTGAATTAACAATTAATCGAGTTATTATGTTTCCGCGTTATATAACGCATAAATGAGAAGTCTGATGATTTAAGTGGAATCTATTCTATTTGATTTGATATTTTTACTTCAATTTTATTTCGTTGATAAAGAAAAGAGTAATAAGGAGTTCAAGTTACTCCGGAATATAAATGAATTTTTTTGATAACCCGCGATACAAGGATGTGTGTTCCAAAGCGGTTTGCGGATCACTTTGTACGAGATATTTACGATGCGTTCCCGATTTCTTAAGTTGAGACATGCTCTAAAGTACATTCCGTGTTTCTATACTCTATAGAATCCCCTCCGCGAACGCAATAATTCTTTGTTCGTGTTTAACATTAAGTAAGAAAAGGTTTAACATTAAGTAGCATTAATGTGACATGCGTTGACGTTAACCGCAATGCGCTTTTATTCCGTTTAACGACGATTCTCTAATGTTCTGTAACGATTGTACGGCGAACGGCAATACAATCGATATTTGGGTTTCACCTAGAAAGACGTAAATTCCTTAGATTTACTTTACCACTCGAATACACACACACACACACACACACACACACACACACACGCAATACAACATACCTGTCTTTCTTAAGCATCGTTTTCTAGGTGACTCCGCCCACGTTCAAGGTATAAACGGCAGATGCACCTATGTGCATCGAGACGAGCGGATATCGATTCGACGTGAAACTTGCACGGTGCGGAATCGATTACGCGACAACGATTCATTTTCCCTCCTTCGTATCGATCCCGATCGATGGATCGATGGATCGATGGATCGATGGATCGATGGATCGACCGCACGCGGATTGAGGGCTTTTCGCGAGAATTCGCTCGTCAACTGAAACGCATGTCAGACGAGCGTGATGGACGATCAATTAATAAAAGAATCATGCAATAATGAGAACATTTATTCATCCCTGAATCCCTTTGCCTTCCCCTTTTATTTCCTTCCTCCTCCCACTCTTAAACTGGTCGATCGCCTCGACTAATAGCTGCTTTTCTGTGTTTTCTCTTTTCCACGGGGGGCGTTTACTAGCAGACAGCTACCAGTACCAGCTGCAGTCCATGTGGCAAAAGTGCTGGAACACCAACCAGAGTCTGGTGCACAATCTGCGCTTCCGGGAACGTGGACCCCTCAAGTCTTGGCGGCCAGAGACTATGGCGGAGGCGATCTTCAGCGTACTGAAGGAAGGACTCTCCCTCAGCCAAGCGGCAAGGTGCGTTTTCAAACAGCCATACTTTTACTAATTTTGTACTTTTTAAAAATATTTTAATGCACGCTAAGAAAAAAATATCCTAAATGTAAATAAATATTTATTTCAATATGCCAATTAAATATTTACTTACAGTAAATAAATATTTATTTAATAAAAGAAATGATTGTTAATCAAATTAATGGTTTTTTTGTATCAAATAAATATATCTTTATATTTAATAAATATTTAGTTGGCGTTATTCAAATAAATGATTTATTAGAATTTAGTATTTTTTTTTTTTTTTCAATACATTAATACTAGAAATACAGATAGAAAAAAGAAATTTAAGATATTGAATAGTACGTTTTATAAATTAGCAGAACAAAATATGAATCGATTCCTAACTAATATTTTTATTTGTACAAAACATTTGTTGTGCTCATTTTTATTCTGCTAACTTTTAAGACGTGCAATAAACGTCGACACATCTTGGGTCAACGCTCAGAATTACAAATTTTGGACAATACTCAATGTTAATCATTATATAGTATTAAATCGTTAATTTTTCGAAATATATTATTAAATATTTTATAACTTTATAAGTATTTATCGTGTCTTTATATATATATATCTCACTAATTGCCAGAACATGATAAGACATTTATTTGAAAGAAAAAAATCGCGTTAAAAAATACCGTAGCAAAAATAAATAGCCCGCATTACGGGCCATCGAACTCATGTAATATTAATATTAATCGATATAACATATTAATCTTAAAAATATTCCAACATCCAACGCTGTTTTGTAAAAATTATTTATCTCATTTAATTGCACTTTTTCACTATATTACATGTAATATATTAATACCGGCTGATATAAAACGCGTTAACTTAAAAAATATATCGAAATGTCTCCGATGTATATTGCAAAAATAATTAATTTACTCGCAATCATTTTCCGTACACGACGGGTACACCATCCGTGTGTATCCGCGCGATGGAACCAATAATAAAATGAATAATATATTCCACGCGCAGTTGCATAAAACTTTGGTGCGTATCATTTAATATTAACACCGAGTGATGAAATGCGTTAATATAAAAATTAAAGAATTATTTTAATTGCTCATCCCAAGAGTTCGTCTCGCGCCCGCGGCAGCAGCGTGTTCTTCTATAACGTTAATAATTGATACGTAAAAGATAAATATTTTATGCGAGCTTATGCCGCGCCGTTGTTTCTTCCAACTCACGCAATGTATCGGGTAAATAGTTAAAATTGTTATATAAATGTCTTATGATGCGGCGCGTACAATAGAGCCGGGTTATTACGCAATGAAAAATTCCTGGAAATTATCCTGCATCCAAGCGTACCTTATCGCTGTACTTGAATCATGCTAAATAATCATCCGATCTACTCCGCTCAAAGTGGCTTGCTTTAAAATCATTTGCGCGGCGGACGTCGTAAAGTCTGTATCACGTTTGCGTAACAACGTCGACTCGCCGTTAAAGGGATTTCTTTTAATTCGCGTACAAAGCGACTCAATAAAACACGACTTTACGAGCTGCGAGCGATAATTTTTACGATAATCGATTCGACAACCTATAATGCTTTCCAAATGCTTCCCGCCAGCGCAATACGACTCTACCGTGCGATTTCATAAATTTCTATTTCATCTGCAAGAGGTTTCTTGTTTTAATTCAATTTCATTGGTATATTTCAATATTACAAAATATTGTTTATAAGCATTGATATATTTGTATTCCAATTGATATATATTTTTATATGAGCAAAGCGAGACGACGAAATGTGACGAAATGTGAGGAAATGTGAGGAAACGTGATAACCGCGCAGACACAAGTATGAGACAAGTGATTTTCTCGTTGCTTCTCGCGAAGAGTTCTACGTTACTTCGTTAAATGCACAACGTCATCGTCGGTACCTATTCCCCACGCGATTGCATAATTTCGAGAGATTGCATAATTTCCATCGTCATGCATTCAAATATGTTCCGTTGAATCTTTCATTCTCCGTCGGTATAATAAAATTAATATAAATTAAAATGAAATTACGTAATGAAACGGGATAAACACATAAAATATCATTAAAATACGAACAAGCGGGATAGAATAGCTAAAGTTAATTAAGAGTACGTAACGTAATGCGATGTAAGATACGTGGTGGAGCTGAGCAAAGCTATAAATTATGTTGATTATAATTATAAGCTACAAATTATAATTGTATCCCGCTTCTCTACCTTTCAGGAAATACGATATCCCCTATCCGACGTTTGTCCTGTACGCGAATCGAGTACACAACATGCTGGGTCCTAGCGCCGACGGTGGGGCCGGTAAGTATTAATTGCTATTTTTAGTACCCCCTGAAAATGCCCTTCGCTCCTCGATCAACAATACCACGGTTGCGTTTGCAGAGAAAACTGATCAATGAGTGCTTAGTGAATCTTTAATATGATTAGTTCCTACACTCAGATCTAGCGAAGAACAAAAACCAATTACATTAAAGAATCACTGAAAGCTCATTGATTAGTTTTCGATGAACGAGTAGAGTGAGCTCGCTGCTATTAATGTATTTTTCTAGATCTAAACGTCTGATTGGATGATCTAGAAGAATACACCAATAACTGCAGCGAGCACTCACTCAATTGTTGAATCCGCTGAATGCACTCATTGCGTCTCTCAAGGATGAGAGTAGAAACAATACCAACAACCGGATCGAGACGCAGCGGATTATTGTAACAATGGAAATATCGAGAACCGCGAATGACACATATCGTGTCAAGAAAGATGACTGAAGAATTTATAATGATTGCACAAAGTATTCGTATAGGAGAGAGATCCTTGGAAAAAAAATTTTAATTTTTTTAGAAAGTATATAAACATTAATTAGTAATCTATTAAGAAAGAATAAAATAAATTTTTCAAAATTATATAAAAAGATATGTAATAATTTAAATATTATCTTTGTATAATAAACGAAAAACTTTTTATAAAAAAAGTCTTTCCTGTAAAAACTTTTGGCATTCACTATATGTAGAATTTATGGTTTATTAACAATATATTTCTCATTGACGAAGGCGAGATTAATCTCGATCGAATAGAATCGAAATGCACCAGATTATTATTATAATAATGCCAATAGCGTCAGAATACGAATGGCGGACATTACAAAAAGAGAACAACTAAAAAATTTATGTAGAATTTCTGGTTAGGAAAGAAAAATTGTGACAGAAAATTTACGCTTATGCCTCAAATATAAAAAAGATATATTTTATCCCTTCATGATTAATTACTTGGTAAATCCGAAACTTGAAATTTCACACGTTCAACATCATGGCTCTTAAAACGTTCTTAAAACCTTGGTCCATCACGCAAAGAATTCGTATAATGAACCGCGACGGTGTGGCTAATTGTAAATAGTTGATAAACGGCATTGGATCGGGAGAAGAATAAGCTTGAAAAGTCAATTACGTTCGTAAAAGCCGCAATTATGACTGGACTTAATATCTAATAGTAACCTTTAGTTATGCGTCATTAGCATGTAACGTCCAGTAAACACTGATCAAACGTATCATTAAAGCTTGTATTTATAGTCGTGTTTTTGCTGAGGAACTCAACTAGTTTTGAGACGTAGAGCAGTTCAATAGATGAAAATCGATTTGATATTCTCATTTCTAATTGCAATTCAAATGAAAGAAACAAATAAAGTTTATCTTAAGACACTGCCTGAATTCTTTTTTTTTTTACGATTCAATAAGCGAGTTTTGAAAAAAGAAAAATATCCTTAAAATTAATTGGAAAAAAAGATGGTTTTATATATATATCTCCCTTTTATTTTTTGTGTGTATTTTTCATTTGTTTAATTATATAGTTATCTAGTTATGTTTTAAATCAATGATATCGCAATCGATAATTTTTAAATCTAAGTTTATGTATAAAACACACTTGAAATGATTAAGACAATCCACAAAATATGAAAAATTATTTAAATGAAAAGAAACATTATATAATGAGACTATCTGAATATGATCATAAAATGAATATGAGTCTCTCAATATTTTTACAGAATTTAGATTCTTCAAGTTTATTTAGACTTCATGGAAAGTCCAAATAACTTGAATTCATAGAAAATTCTGAATATATTAAGATATTATCAGATTCAGAAGTTCTTTTCATGAATACGTTTATCGAGCAATACTCTTGTGTTGATCTTGCCTTCGGGAATGTTTATAACGAGCATTTCTTTCTCGCTTCACAGATATCTCTAAGGATGTCTTAAAATCATTTTAAAATGAAATCACAAAGATTTTTAACATAAAACAACGCCCTATAATGTTCTTCAATCTAAAAATCAATCCCGGAGTCTATTTGTTAAGAACCCAGTATAGGAATTAATTAATAAAATTTACATTTGATTATGTCCGAAAATTGTTCAAGTTTACTTATCTTCTCAAAATAAAAGAACAGCACCTTAATAATTAATTTAGTCTAAAAATTTATTACTTATGAACTTTAAGCAATGTTAAACATGATTGAATATCATACAAATAACTTTGATATACTTCGTAATAGAAAAACATCAATTATCAACAAAAAAAGGTCACGCCGGTCGTGATAGAAATTATTTCCCATCTTCGATATCTAAGAACACGTTAAAGTTTTTGCAAAAGATGGTATTAATTATAACAGAATTTTAAGTGGAGTTCACTTAAAATAGTAGCACAGTAGGATTTTACATTCCATTTTTTATTCTAATAAACAAATGAACGAAAAATTAAAAAAAAAATTTGTTAACAATTGTCGTTTTGAACTTTTTCTTTCAAGAAAAAGTTCAAAACGACGCGCAGCGTCTTTATCACGGAGATTTTTTTCATTAATAAAGTCTCGAATGTCACATAAAAATCCTCGTTCTTTCTCAAATCTACTTAATTTTAATTCCATGCCGAGAGAGATTACGAGACACGATTATTCTCGCGGTTCTCGAAGAAGCACCAACGCGAAAAAACGAGTAGCGACGGGCAACTATCACGACCACATGCACAATCACAGAACCGATTTGCAGTGAAATGAATTCTTCCTCTTCATTGCCCTCTTTTCCCTCTACCCCACTTACCCCTCTATCTTCTCTTCCGTAGATTTGCGCCCGAAGGGACGAGGACGACCGCAGAGGATTCTGCTGGGTGTCTGGCCAGACGAGCATATCCGCGGTGTGATTCGCGCGGTGGTATTCCGCGACGGACACTCGCCACACATCGTCAAGGAGGAGCCGACCACGATGTACCCTAGCCTGGCGAACTACGCGGCTTGCAATGGCCCGGAAGGCGCAGTCAGTCCGGGTGCGGCAGCTGCGGCTGCGGTCGCGGCGGTCGCTCAAGGTAACGGCAACATCAGATTTTCTCATTTTTTTCCCCCTTCTTTCTTTTCCACCTTACTTTTTCCGAGATCAATGATTGATGCTTTACGTGCCATGCGAGGCGGATTGAGATACTTGACCGTTCTGTTGAAATGCATTCCATAAATGTAATCTATTACTCGAGGAGGTAACCACTAGCTGAAATATTATTCCACAGATTACATGATTTCATTTGATTTCATACAATTTCATCTCATTACAAATAATTTTCTTCACTACATATGAAGTCATTTGGTAACATAAACGATTTTATCTAATATTACACAATGATTTCTCGTGATTGCACATGTAATTATCGGATTATACATAGGAATTTCATATGAATTTTATAATGATTTCGGGGATTCTGTCTCTCGATTATATTAAGTGATTACCTCTTCGCTATTATTAATAATAAAAGTAATATTACGTAATAATATATAATAATAGTAATGAACTATAAAGTATGTAGTCATACACACATGCGCGCGCGCACGTACAGAGTGATTTATAAATAAAACATGTCGATATTTCAGAGGGTGAATTTACTCATTAAAATAAATAAAAATTAACGTCAAATATGAACATATATTACTACTGAATGATTAAAGAAAATATTTAAAGTATCGTGTTTCACAGACGCTGATACTGCACACTTTAGCTCTTGATTTTATCTAAGAATATCTATATTGAAGTGCATCAGAATTAAAGAAAATTTCGTGTTTTTTTTTTTCAAAAATTTCGAATCTGTTGGATTGAACTTTGTATTATATTTCACGATAACCGATAACGTTTTCAAAATATGTGAAAAAATGTAATTTTGCTTTCAATTTTGAATTCTGTACTCCGCTTTGGACATCTGATTATATGAAGTTTTCATCTTGAATTAATATGTGAGGTATAACCCCTTAAAAAAACTTTTAAAAAGCTTAAGAATCACCTGTACATGTACATTACGTTATATTTACGTATAATTGTAATAGTAATATTACTTATTACGTCTGTGATTCCGAGAGTCTCAATTTCAACGGAACGCTCGCAAAATAAACTTTAGGATATTTTATGTTTAGACGATTTCTTTCACACCATATGTTTAATCTGCAAGTTTTTATTTTTGTTAAAAATGAAAAAAAGTGCTAATATTCCTGGGCTCTCTTTGCTGAAAGAAAATTCAAATTCTATATTTATATTCAAGAGTTCCCTTTTCGAAAGGTATTCGAAATGTATCAGTTTAAAGAAGACCTCACATTTCTTAATATCGAAAAATTCTGAAAAAAAAATGCGAATCTTTCTCTCTCAAAACAATATTACTTATCCTGTCAAGATTTCTCTACATTAATTTCGATATCCATCAGGTCTGCGACACCAAATGTGCAGCATGGTGGCAGCGGCGCATTCGCAGCAACACGATATGATGGCGACGAACCTGTCGACGAGTCTGTCTACCAGTCTGTCGTCAAATCTACAAGCGGCGATGCAAGCTAGCCAGCACCACAACAACAACAACACGAGCAGCAACGCGAGTGGCCTCGGCAGCAGCAATAGCGCCGGCAACAACGGCAATTCGCCATTGAATCTCGGCCTGGCGAGCCCGGGTTCGGGTGGACCGCCCGAGAGTCCGTTGGAGAGTCCCCTGGCGAGCCCGTTGGGTCCGCTGATGGATCCAGCGGGCCACATACCCAGTAGCGTGGAAGTCGGCATCGGCGTGAGCGGCATGACGTACAAGCCGGCACGGAGCTTTGTCAGTCCACGCCCGGAGAATCTCTTCCAGGAGGACATCGCCGATCTGGTGAAGAGCCCCCACGGTCTTAAGGACAAGGACAAGATCCCGGTGAAGCTTGAACCACTCACGGACTCGCGCTGCGAATAGTAAGTCATTATGGTGGCTGCGGAACGAGGAGGAGAGACGACTACATCAGCTCCTATGGGATCGTCGGCTGTGGAAGGACGAGGTGCGTCGATGACTCCGAGGAGGATCTCTTTCTCTTCGAGGCCGTCAGCGGCCGAGGACCGGTGATGCGAGCCGATAGACTTCTCGCGAAGAATCGAGCATTGTCCGATTCACTTCACCTTCACTCGCGGGAGTTTATAATATATATAAACGCAACTCCGAACGTTATACGCGAACGCGATGTATTGTGCATACGAAAATCTTAGAGGGATATTAGAGAAAAAGAGAGGCTTACAATCAAAAGAAAAAAAAAATAATAAATTGACGGAGACACACGAGTGCGGACGAGATAAGCTAGAATGTCGAGAATTTCTCGCCTGGGCTCAGCTCTGGGGAAGAACGATCGAGAATGGTAGTGGACCGTCCTAGACGAGGATCGCTCGGTCGGAACCTTCGACAGCGGAAAGCAGAAACGGAGGAAAGGAGAGAGAGCGAAAGAGAATAAAAACCTTCTTCTAGCAAACATACTATAGCTATACTAGGTCGCCGGCGCCTCGCGAGCGCGTCGCCACCTTTTTCCAATCTAGATAGTCGTGTCATCGTCGTGTCGTACAGACTATGTACATGTAATAAAGGTAAAAAAAAACCCACACGTTACACACACGCGCACACATATGGATATACATACACTCACACATGGATACACGAACGCGCGCCGTACATAACAAGATACACACTCGAAATTTATACCTACGCATTATACGATAACTGTACTTTTAATGCCAAATGTATAATAACTCGTAAGGGGTCGCCTACTGCCGAATGATTGACTATTCGAGACGGGTATCGAGACGAGAAAAATAAGCCGCCTCGAACAAAGCTGCACGTTGTATTATCGAGTCCTTACACAACGTGTCATGGATCAGTTTGTGATACACTCCTAATTTTTAGGTGTCGCAAAAGAGAGTTGCTTGAAATTATTTTAAGACTATAAAGTAAGTTTTTCTTATTAGTATATACATATATATATATATATAACGTGAAAGTAAAATAAATTATAGAGATCGCGAAAGTAAAATAAATTACAAAGATCGCGAACTCTCATTTTCTATTTCTGTATAAATTATTCTAAGAACGTAAATCTTGCTTTTAGGGAAAAAACAGATCTGGTCTTCAATTACTTATATAAATCTATCGATAGAAACATTTTTTTAACGTAATCAAATATCTCAAAGATGAGTCTTGCCCTTTATCTATGAATCTCTTCGAAACAAAAAAAAATCTCAATTTCATCCGCGACGCTTTGTGCAAGAATACTATCACTTTTGACGCCAGGCAGTAAGCGACGTCACCGATGTAAGCTCGATAAGTAAGGGAGATGTACAAAATTCACTATGATTGTCTACCAAGCAAGCAAATGAGCAAAAAAGAAAGAAATTAAAGAGCGAAAGAAAGATAGAGAAAGCGAAAGAGGGGAAAATAAGGTACGACAAAGTATTTAGAAATGGAGAAAACAAATTCAATGGCTTATAAAGCGAGCACACTCTAGGCCGAGATGATCGCTATAAAGTTATTAAGTATAATGATTGCCTTCCTGCCATATTTGGGGTATGCCAAGTATAAAAATTATAAGGTTTAGGGATTAGAGACGAGAAACTGTGGCTCGACACGACAGACCGTGTCGAAATTTCGGTGAGTTCGGCGACCATGAGTGTCTGTGCATCAATGCGAAATTGCGAAAGTCTGAATATACGAGTCTGTGTGCGTGCGTGCGTGCGTGCGTGCGTGCGTGAACACGAGGGTGAATGGACTGAGTATACGGACGAAGGTGCAAATGGATTTGAAAGAAAAGCTCGTATACGTGTTCTTTTTTCGAAAGATCGTGCTATTTTTCAAAATTTTACACACGTCGCGCGTGATTTCGCAAAGGGATCTCCAAGTCCTCGACAATCGATGAACGAGCCGTGCCGACTACTTAAAATGATGGAGGTATTTTAATATCTATCATGCAAAATCGAGAGCGGAATTATGCACTAATAGAATTTATTGCAGATTGTAATTATAATTATCTTTGCTAAATTCAGAATCCGCGGAGTTTTAGACTTGATTACCGCAAGATATCGCATTTCGATGGTGCTAATACGAAGATCCTTCATTTGACTACTGTCACTAACAAGCAGGCAATTTTTATTATATGTCAAGCAAATAGGGCGAAATTGTACACGATTAAAATTTATTGGACTTTGTAATTGATCGTCTGTACTAAATTCGATCCATCCAATTCGGTTTTGATTACCGCTAGGTATCACCTTTCGATAGTGTTAATATGAAGATTCTCATTTGATCATTTATATCTTCCATCAGCTATAAACGAACTGAATAATTTTTCAAATAATTTAATTCTAAATATGTATCTTTCTCATTGAAATTTTCTGACATTTGAGATTTCTAACATCGGCACGCTGGTTCGGGAAAGAAAAAGAGGAAGAATGCGAGAGAATGCCAGTGAGAGTGAGAATGAGAATGAGAGAGAGAGAGAGAGAGAGAGAGAGAGAGAGAGAGAGAGAGAGAAAGAGACTCCTTGTAAGTGTAAAAAGTAAACAAAAAAAATTCGAAGTGGCCTTCGGTGAAAGGGAAAGATCATCGCTTTTCGCTTTTGCTCGTACGAGGCTTTTGGCGAAACGAGCCATCCGTGTTATCCGTTTGTCTGGAAAACTTTACGGAAGAGAGGGTAAAAAAAATCGCAGAAAGAAAAAAATTGATTCTCGCACCACGCTCATGCAGCCAGAATATTATCGGTAAAGGAGGTAAGGAAAAGAGAGAAAGAGAGAGAGAGAGAGAGAGAGAGAGAGAGAGAGAGAAGAAAAGATCGCGCGATCGTAGTAGCACGTATATAAGGAAGTGACAAAACATCAGGCAAGTCAAAAATAAAGGGGAAAAAAAAAGTAACACGTTATTCTTGATACAAACGACTTTTGTGCGAAAACGCGACGGTGTCGCGAGGCGACACGCGGACGGCGCGGCGATTTATTATTAGTATACGCGTTGCGAGACTTCAATCGACCACGTTTTTCATTTCAGCGTGAAATTCGGAAAGCGCGAATTCTATTTACCATTTAGGCATTAATGTGTTCAAACGTAAATTCGCGCGAGACGTGCGATGGATTAAAAACGAAGAGTGAAAGAGAGAAAAAAAGGGTTGCGCGGGCAGTCGAAATTTAGAGAAGCGCAAGCCGAATCGCGAAAAAAAATTCCAGGTGCAAGAGGAAGGAGAGAAAGATAAACGAGAGAAAGGAAGAATATACGCGAGGTCGCGAGAGCGTGGGGAAGAGAGAGAGCGAATGCGGAAGAGTTTAAAATTAAATACTGTATAAAAAGAAAAAAAGTAGTAAGTGCCTTCCAAAAAAAAAATTTAAGTGTCCCGTAGACCGTGACCACTTGACTAAGCGACGAGAAAAGTCATTCGAAATTCTGCTGAATGCATTACTCGTGTGATCATGTTTGTAGATACGGTGCGTAAGTTGACGCTTCGCTTTCTTCGAGTTGATTTCCTTTTCTCCATGATACTCAGCGGTGTAGATCAATTTTATTTTTCCGATTAAAGCGGACAATGTGACTCAAAAATTGACAGTTTCGTCAAGAAAATCTAGTAAGCTGATGTTATTTATCATCTTGATTAGAGATGTAATCGGATCGTAAAATTTCCGGATATCCGGATAATCAGATATCCGGTAGGACAATTATCTGGCTAAATAATACCGGATATCCGTATAATTTCTCTATTCTAGTTAGAAAAAAGAAAATAAGGGAAAAATAGCGGTAATAATTTTCTTTATCTCCCCAATGTGAAAAGAAAAAAGAAAGGTGAGCTGTGCAAAAAGTTCAGCTGAAAAGAATAGGATTTTGTATCAATGATGCGAACTTTCAATATAAAATTTCAGTTAGATGTATATTATATATTGCCGGATACTAACGATATCCAGGTAGGTAAAAAAGAACCGGATAAGATCGGATACTTCTCAGATATTCGGTACATTTCTAATTTTGATTTTCACATCAGCTTGCTATCTGAGAAGTTTTCCATGTTCCTGTAGTCCGCATACTCTTTTTTATTTGCTTCAAACCTCGAGAAATTTTTTTTAGTTTCTAATTATAAACAGCGTTGTAAATGTACAGAACGTCATTTCTTTCAGTATTTAATTTGATCTATTCTATTCTCAAATGAAGTCTAATCTGTGAACCTAAATTGACACGAATTCAGTTGATATAAATTTACAGTTGCAGCATTTCTTGATATAAAATTTTTCGATCGTCCGATTCCTGAACTATTTGCGAAGAGGAAAAATCTCTCCCTTGCGAGATTTTCAGTCTAATTGTTTCCAAAAGAAAAACGCAGTTGTGCAATAAGAGAGATATTCAATTAACCGGCGAATCCTATGTCGAATACGCAACGTATCTACGAACTTCTGTGTGCGTGTCAGAGTGAATGTCCGAAGCAACAAACTACCCGACAAAATTTGTGTTTTGGATCAATCCACACAGGTAATACCCTGAATGGCATATTCTCGAAATGTTTTCCTTTTTAGTT